CAGTTGGACCCAGTTGTGGTAGTATTGGCGATGGTTGATTGTTGGGTTTACCAGGTTTACCACATTACTGCCATGGATTGCCATGATGTACCTTAAATCAACCTAAGATTTCTTGCAATCAGAGCTTCGGGATTCTAAGGTTAAATCGCTTCAAGATTCCAGCGGCATCTCACCTGAATTTGGGGCCTCCCATTCAACGGCCGGGGCCAAGGGGTTGATTACCATGGGATTGGCATTAGTACTTATCAGTTGAGTTCAGTCTAGCATTGCTACCGCGACGTCCCTTCCTTGCTGTTTTCAGGCTGCAGCTGAATGGATTTGCACTGTGTTCAAGGTCTATAACTGATTTCTCAGGGTTTGATCAAGTTGTATTCGGGACATTTAGGGGACAAGACCTTTCGTCGTCGTCGTCGTTGTTGTTGTTTTGGTGTGTGAGCTCTCCACAATAGGTGATTCCCCAGGAACATTTTGACCCCTTAGCACAGCTTTGCGCGTGCTGAGGACGATTGAGGACATTGGTGCCAATTTAACCCAGGAAAACGCAGCATTTCGCTCACTATGCATGAGTGAGCAAAGATAGACTCCTCCCAGAATGGGAACATATCCAATCTGTATCGTGGGCTTAATTGGGGATGGAGAGCCCGAGAGTGTTCACCGCCCAGGTGGCCTTCTTTGGAAATCCAATCCTGCCATGGCTTCCTCGAAGTCAGGAGCGTTTGGTTATGGGTATTCATATTGATATATATATATATACTGTATATATATTACCTAATTAAAGCTGATAAATTGGGATCTAAGAATTTCCTAACCATGCATGATCGTAGTTGTTGATTTTGCTTCTTCGTCAACTTTTCGAGATGGTCTTCTTTAATCCCCAGCCTTCTGGGCTTTCCAGGTCTTGCCAAGAGGGGTAATATGCCAATGAGCTGTTTCATGATTTTTTCGTTTCCTCATGTAATTTCCAGATTCATGTAACCTTTGATAAACCTTCCGGTGGATGAATTAGGGCCATTATTGAGGGGTTATCCCCAAGTAGTGAGAATCTCTTGCGAAATTGGCACCCAAACGGCCTTACACAAACGACCTTACACCAACAGCATTAGACGGCCCCGGGCGTCCCCGCCAGGCGCGCATCTTGACGGTGGTCGGCGAGGCGATTCAGTACCTTGGCAGCCTTGTAATGCTACGCGCAAACACCCCGTGTCGCCCACACCCTTCTTGACCTGGGAAGATCAACAAAGGTATATAAAAGTCCCACCCCGGTAAACTTTACATTCAATTGGGAGGATCAACAAAGGCAGTAGGGATCAACACAGCGGATCAGCAAGAGCGGGATGACAAGTATAAGCCAGTGCAGAGGAAAAATCACGGCTCTCATCGGATGTCTGGTTTTGGTTCTCCTGCTATTCATGTTGATGCTATACATGCTGATGGTGATGATGATGATGATGATGATGATGATGTGGTTGTTGTTGTTGTTTGTTGTTTGTTGTTTGTTGTTTGTTGTTTGTTGTTTGTTGTTTGTTGTTTGTTGTTTGTTGTTTGTTGTGTGTTGTTGTTGTTGTTGTTGTTGTTGTTGTTGTTGTTGTTGTTGTTGTTGTTGTTGTTGTTGTTGTTGTTGTTGTTGTTGTTGTTGTTGTTGTTGTTGTTGTTGTTTGTTGTTTGTTGTTTGTTGTTTGTTGTTTGTTGTTTGTTGTTTGTTGTTTGTTGTTGTTGTTGGTTGTTGTTGTTGTTGTTGCTGTTGTTGTTGTTGTTGTTGTTGCTGTTGTTGTTGTTGTTGGTTGTTGGTTGTTGGTTGTTGGTTGTTGTTTGTTGTTTGTTGTTTGTTGTTTGTTGTTGTTGTTGTTGCTGCTGCTGCTGTTGTTGTTGCCTTTGTTGTTCTTCTTCTTCTTGTTGTTGTTGTTGTTCTGATTGTTGTTGCTGTTGTTGTTGATGATGATGGTGATCATCATCTTAGATGATGCGGATGTTGTTGTTGTTCTGATTGTTGTTGTTGATGGTGATGATGATGATTTGGAACGAACCCGCACAGGTCCCCATGCTGTGTGTTTTGATCTAGAACATCAAGGTAACCATAATGCTAAAATAAAATATTATTTTTTATTTGTTTAACCACGTTTTCAGTTCATACGAAGAGGGCGGGCAAGACGAGGTGTTTGGCCCTAATGTTAGTAATGTTTGCTGCTGATTTGTGTAAGGCCCCCCCCAAACAATTTCAGGATACTCTATAACTCGCACTTTTCTTGCACCCCCCCCCAACATTTTTTTGGTTAAAATCAACTTAAGTAAGGATTTCAATTTACTTTTAATTTACTTTCAATTGATTTCAAATTATTTTTAATTGATTTCAATTTACTTTTAATTGAATTCAATTTACTTTTAATTGATTTCAATTTACTTTTAATTTACTTTCAATTGATTTCAATTTACTTATAACTGATTTCAATTTACTTTCAATTGATTTCAATTTATTTTTAATTTATTTCAATTTACTCTGAATTTACTTTCAATTGATTGCAATTTACTTTTAATTTGTTTCAATTTACTTTCAATTAATTTCAATTTGCGCCCAATTGATTTCAATTTACTTTCAATTTACTTTTAATTGCTTTCAATGGTTTTGTTTTTTTTTTCACTCCCAAAAGTTGGTGCTCACAATAGAGTACCATCCAAACAATTATATTATTCAGTAACTGAGCCACTCATGAGGTACCCCCTTGAAAAATTGCCTGGGTGCGGTTTTTTAATAATGGTTTAATAAGGCATCTAATTATTTGGGAAACCTTGCGTTTTAAAGCTTTAACACAACTATGGTTTTCTAAAGTAAAGGGACCAGCTTTACCCAAAGAAAGGTGGAGAAAGGGTTTGTTTTTTTACTCCCAAAAGTTGGTGCTCACAAAAGAGTACCATCCAAACAATTATATTATATTATATTATTCAGTAACTGAGCCACTCATGAGGTACCCCCTTGAAAAATTGTCTGGGTGCTGTTTTTGAAAGGGTTAAATAAGGCATCCAATTATTTGGGAAACCTTGCATTTTCAAGCTTTAACACTAACATATGGCTTTCTAAAGTAAAGGGACCAGCTTTACCCATAGAAAGGTGGAGAAATGTTTTTTTCACTCCCAAAAGTTGGTGCTCACAATAGAGTGCCACCCAAGCAATTATATTATTCAGTAACTGAGCAACTCATGAGGTACCCCCATGAAAAATTGTCTGGATGCTGTTTTTTTAATAATGGTTTAATAAGGCATCTAATTATTTGGGAAACCTTTCATTTTAAAGCTTTAACACAACTATGGTTTTCTAAAGTAAAGGGACCAGCTTTACCCAAAGAAAGGTGGAGAACGGGTTTTGTTTTTTTTTACTCCCAAAAGTTGGTGCTCACAAAAGAGTACCATCCAAACAATTATTTTATTCAGTAACTGAGCCACTCATGAGGTACCCCCTTGAAAAAATCTTTGGGTGCTGTTTTTTAATAAGGCATCTAATTATTTGGAAAACACAAATATGGCTTTCTAAAGTAAAAGGACCAGCTTTACCCAAAGAAAGGTGGAGAAAGGGTTTGTTTTTTTTCACACAATAGAGTACCATCAAGAAAATTATATTATTCAGTAACTGAGCCACTCAAGAGGTACCCCCTTGAAAAATTGTCTGGATGCTGTTTTTTAAAAATGGTTTAATAAGGCATCTAATTATTTGGGAAACCTTGCATTTTCAAGCTTTAACGCTAATATATGGCTTTCTAAAGTAAAAGGACCAGCTTTACCCAAAGAAAGGTGGAGAAAGGTCTTTGTTTTTTTTTCACTCCCAAAAGTTGGTGCTCACAAAAGAGTACCATCCAAACAATTATATTACATTATATTATTCAGTAACTGAGCCACTCATGAGGTACCCCCTTGAAAAATTGCCTGGGTGCGTTTTTTTAATAATGGTTTAATAAGGCATCAAATTATTTGGGAAAAAGCTTTAACACAAATATGGCTTTCTAAAGTGAAGGGACCAGCTTTACCCAAAGAAAGGTTCAGAAAGTTTTTTTTTTTTAACTCCCAAAAGTTGGTGCTCACAATAGAGTACCATCCAGGCAATTATATTATTCAGTAACTGAGCCACTCATGAGGTACCCCCTTGAAAAATTGTCTGGGTGCTGTTTTTTTTTTTATAATGGTTTAATAAGGCATCTAATTATTTGGGAATCCTTGCATTTTAAAGCTTTAACACAAATATGGTTTTCTAAAGTAAAAAGACCAGCATTACCCAAAGAAAGGTGGAGAAAGGGCTTTGTTTTTTATCACTCCAAAGGTTAAAAAGTTGGTGCTCACAATAGAGTACCATCCAGACAATTATATTTTTGAGTAACTGAGCCATTCATTGTCTAGTTAATTCATGAAAAAGGAAGCAATTAAGAAAATAAAAGAAGTAATAATTAATTCATGAAAAAGGAAGCAATTAAGAAAATAAAAGAAGTAACCAATGAAAAAAACATGAAACAATAGTAAATAAAAATGAAAATAAAATAAAAATAGAAATAAAAAATGTAAAAAAAACATAATTAAATAAAAATAAAATACAAATATTTAAAATAAAAACAACAAATAATAAATAATAAATAAACAATAAAGCATTTGGAAAACAATAAAAACTGAAAAGAAAAACAAATCTAAAAAAAAATCTCACAATAGAGGCCCCCCCCCCACAAACAGCATGTTACTGAATTAGGAACAAGAAATTTATCACAATAGGGTACCATGACACTAATCGGGTGCAAACATTATAAAGCCAATGGATCCACCATCCCAACTTTTACCACAAGTGGGTGATATAAAATGATATAAACAATAAAATCATGGGTGGGGGGTTTATGATTGCGTTAACATGAATCAGATGTGAGTGTTTTATTGAGTGTGTGCGTATTATGACGGCAAGGCCCCATGATTTGTCCGGAAGGTTATTAGAATGGTGTTAAAACATTATCCTTCGACAGCTTCAATTACCTTTGCTGAGTGTTTTGGTGTGTCCCAGGCGGCGAGCCCTAAACCCTACATTAAAAATTTTAAAACCCTAAAACCTAAAACCCTAAGTCCTGAACCTTGAAAACTCTGAATCCAAAACCTGAAAACACGGCGCAGACGCAGTATTTCTCTCAATCATGCATGACAACAGGGCATCTTCAATGTCGCAGTCCCGTGCCTGGCTCCCCCACGTACCGGTTTACACATTTTATAATAGATATCTTCTGAAGGTGCATCTGCTTCTGTAGTTGCATGTGTGGTGAAATCTTTTGTGGTTGTCCTGTAAACACGCAACAGCACATGATGGGCACATCAATGGCATATTCTACGTGAAATAGTCTGAGCTCAGCGGGAAGTTGATTTTTTCGTGCTAGTGCTGGTGTTCTTTCTGGTGCTCACTGTTGCAGGCAGTGGGCGCCCCACAATGCAAATTTCGGGACTCTTCAAGCGATTGTTCTAGCGTTTTTTATTCAGCAATTTCAATAGGCTACCCTTCCAGGACTCTGGCTGTGAGGTCCGAACTTTTCTATGGGAATTTCATGTTTCGAGATATCATCCTCCTTGCAGCAGACCGTGTAGCCTGCAAGGTGCCCAAAGATTCCAAACCCCACGCCGGACGAGGCGTGGGTTGCACTCCCGGCCAATGGATAGCAACATTTTTGAAGATATGTTTTTTTTTTAATATGGAGGTACCCCAAGACCATAGGTTTCAATACTAAAATGGCCTAATGGCTTGGACGATTTGTGGGTACAGCACCCCCACTTTGGCTATATATGTGACCAGTTTCTGGCGCATTTCATGCAGAAGAAAACCCAAAAAACGGTTTTGCAAAACAGGGCCACCTCATCATGCCATATCTATACAGAGACATCCTGTTTTGGGGTTTCCTGGAGAGTCCTGGCGACCTCACATCGAACCAACTTATAGGATCTCAAAGGAACTTTACTAAGAGAAACCACCCTTAAGATTTGTTTACCCTGCGGTAGTCAAACGTGGCAATTTGGAAAACTATCTAACTAAATAGTGGCGTTTTTCAGCAAGCTAGGTTTGATTACTGGAGAGTACCTCTTTTTAATGTGCTATTTCAAACCATTCGCCATGTTAAGAGTACCAAGTGCCATACCTAATTCAAGTAAACTCACATTTTTGGTTGGTTCGGTCCATATGCTTTTCCATTTCGCTACTGAAATCAGACAGACCCCAACCCAAACTCGCCGAAAACAGGTGGATTATTGGCTGCAAAGTTACGCCAAGGCCTTGCAAGCGACCTTCAATGAATGGACGCTTGGGCGGTGCAGCTCGATGGATGGATTACAGCCATCATAGAAGGGGATCATTCATGGTTTAGAATGGATGACTCTATGATGATTGTATGATGGATGCTGTTTGTTCTGTTTTGGTTGATGTGATGATGGATTCATATGGATTAGGTTGTCATAGACATGTGGTGACGTTTAGCCCTGTTTGGGGATTTCATGGGTTTATCAGTTATTTGCCAAAAAGCAAATCTTTTTGGCAGGGGATCACAGCATAAGAAAGAGAGAGGCTGCGCGTTTGCTGTGATTTGGCGGGAGGTTACTTTAAAGACCTTCTCATCACACGTGCAAGATTCTCATGAAAAAACGGCTGCACGTGAGGGAAGCAAGGTTGAAGAAGCATGCCCTTCTCGGCAGATGTTTGCAGACCTACACCATGACATCACAGGTAGATTGCCAGGAGCTGTCAGGCTGTGCGAGAATTCTCTTGCATTGCAGTGTTGCTTGGGGCGTCCTGATGGGACGGCTGTGGACAGTCACGACTGACAGAGAGAGATCAGGTTGAAGAAGGTATGATTTTGAACTTTTCTGTGAGTTGTGTTGGATCTACCTGCAAAACTAAGTCTTAATATGCAAACAGGACTGGCAGGCAAAAACATGCTTTCAGTTGCCGTGGAAGTAGGGAGCCAGGTTGACAGCTGTGGCAGAGGTGGCGCGTAGAGTAAAATGCTGCGGTTGGTAAATTCTGGTGTCAATAGGGCCACAATGGTGGTGTTGATGACTGCGGGCTCAATATTCTTTGCTGATTCTTTTTTTGGTCTGTAGCCCATTGATCAAGCCACCAGAACTGAAGAATCTACTGTCCCAGTATTGGTTGAGGGGGAAGACTGCAGGAAACCTCAGGAAGCACCTATTTGTTGTGCTAAACACCAGAGTTTCCTCTAGTTTTTCCCTTCAACCAATCCGTTGATTGTTGGTTCAATGTGATGACATCATATGAAACCCCATTGTTTTAAATATATTTTGGTGGGTTAAGTCACGTTAAGTCCATCTATTTTCTTGGTGGTTTATAAATCCTCCTAAGATTATTAAGTCCTCACCCCCTCCTCCAGCAGCACGCCTCAGGAAAGCGGAAGCCGGGCGACCGCACGCGGAGCTGGAGGTCTTCTGACCGTAGATTAACGTAGCTGCGATGACCGATATCAGCAAAGAATAGATAGATAGATTAAGATTGGATAGATTGGATAGATTAGATAGATTAGATAGATTAGATAGATAAGATAGATAAGATAGATAAGATATATAAGATAGATGGATGGATGGATAGATAGATTGATATGATATGATATAGCATTTTGAGTACTCACGTGTGAACCAGATCAGATCATGTCACTCCACGACACAATGTGATGTTGGATTGCATTGGTATCCTGCTGTGTTTCTTCCCTGATGTCCGGTACTTCACATGTACAGTAGCACTATTTTGCGCCGCCCGGCCAAGCCGGGTTTGTTCATGTTGGTTTTGCAGATGCCCATAGCTCCAACGGCACTCGTGCTGATTCGTGCTGGATTCACAGATGTGCTATGGAACTCTGCTGCGGTTGGATGGATTGGCCAAAACTGACTCAACTGCCCTTGAAAGGCTCTATGCTCCAAAAACTACCTAACTTGAATATAAAACCATGGCCCCTCATGTTCCAGATTCCATGTTGTGTATAAGTGGCCATCCCCACCATTAACAAAACAGAGTGCTATCCTCTCACTGTTTTGGTGTATGACACCAGCAACAGATTCAGTCGGTTCTTCGAACTTTGCGGGCAGCCCATCCAATCGATAGCTGCAATTATCTCGGGGTAGCCGCAGTCCACAACCAGAGGGTGCGCTACTTCTAAGCAATGTTGTTACATTGCTTTTGATGCTAGGAAATTGGTTCACATTCTTATGGTGTGCTAAATGCAACCCTTGTCATCCTTAGTAAATGAAGCAGCTTCTCCAGAATCTGTATTAAGTTCCTTTGTTTCTCCCTACAGCCATTCCATCTCCATTGCATGTCGGAAATTGTTGGAACCAACAGCAAATGTGTCAATCCCGCTGGTCAGAGGCTAGGTGGACCGAGCTGCCCAGCCCAATGCTTGAATTTCCAAGAATTGCTTGGATGTCTCTCGCTTGGAGAGGGCGTTTCTGAGCTATGCTGCACAAACGAGCGGCTAGAAAAGGTTGGATGAGAAAAGATGGGGCAGCCGAGTTTGCACCATGCAGTTTCTTCCTGGTGGCTAGCAGAATCCCCATGTTTTAGATCTGGGCCCAAAGGCACAGCTATGGGCAAAACAATAAGACGCCCAAGACCCACCAGATACAAGGCTTTGGGCCACCCCCTTTAGAACTGCCTGCAGGGAGTTCCGACCAACCAGTGCGCCACATGCGGGGGTCCTTGGATGCCACCACTGATGCGGGGTAGTGCCAAACTGGCTGCTCTGATTGTGATCGTTGTATTTTGGGACTCGGATGTCCGTCCTAGTACGTAGGTAGTCGAGAAGTTATATACCAAGCTTGCTTCAAGTGAGAAGCTCCCTCATGCAGGATTGAGGATATCCATGGATATCCAATGTGTGCAGTAACGGTAATGGTTTTCAAGTGAGTTCCCACTCAATTCAAGGTCCTTGCCACAGTCATCTCCCCACCTGGGCGGCCAGGAGTTGCCACGGAGTCGTCAGGTCGGGATGTAAAAAGACAACGGGGTGTCAAACAGCCAGTGGTTTTCTTATAGGAAGCCACCCAAAATGCAAAAAAACAATGGTAAAGGGGGGTTTGGTATGTTAAGGGGTGAGGTTGTTGTGGTTTGATGTTGATATGCAAAGTTTGTTCGTTACCGTTTCTTTGTTTGTCTAGTGTGTGGGATGGAGTCTATGTATGGATATGTCATGTCCTTTCTTGGTGCTAACTTTTGCCGTTGATGTTGGGATTGAACCAGGTAGGATTCGTTGACTGACACGGTTCGAGTTTGGATGTGTTCCAACCTGCTTCGTGGTGAACTCATGTTGTCCCAGTGACCGCTTTGATGACCTGACGCAGGTGCGCACGGTTCTAGAGGCCGAGGTGCACACCGCGGTCAAAAACGTCTGCGGGAGGTAGTTGGTAGTGCATGGCACAGCTAACGTAGATATCCAGAAATGAATTTGGACCTGCTTTAAGCAAAATAATCCTAAATACATGTTTGGTGGATATACTTAGGGAACTTCTTACCCAGGGTTATCCACCAGTTCCGAAGGGTCATGATCGATCCTCCAAGATTGACTTGCATATACCTCGATGATCCTCGTGTTTGCGCACAGGAAAAATCATATGGAACACATACATATATATATAAATTTATATAAAGTAAATATCAATCAATAGTATCAGATGATAGTATCATATAGTATCCATTTTGAAAAATGCATCAGTATTATCCGTGGAAACTATCAATAGTACTTATCAATATCCCTCTAAATCACCATTTGTCGTTCAATCCCATAATCCCCCCATGAATATCCCATGAAAAATCACCATAAATTACCATTTCACCCTAGATTTAGGTACTCGAGAACGAAGACTTCGAATGGGCACGGCCAATTGGGTGCGACGTTTCTAAGGTGCCGTTACGAACGGAGTGGATCGCCCTGTAACAGCAAGCACGGTGTTTCACATATCTCGAAGTTTTTAATGGGGGATTCATAATTGCCATTTAGATTTGCAGGCACAAGAGTGCTCCCACAGCGAAGTCACACTGCAACTAGAAACGGACACGAAGTGCGCACCAAACGCGCTCTCTGGTTCTGTTCCTCAGCCCTGGTGTCTTCAACGGATTCTCAACTCTTTGGTAGTTTCCCTGGAAATAGGCATTTCACACAAGCACCCCGGACCAGATGAAATTTTGTCCGTATTCATATAACTGTAGGATCATTTACTGTCAGTCTTCGTAGCAGAAACCAACGAATACATTCTATCTCCAAAATCCGCGCATGCAAATCTCCAAAAGTAAATGTACTGATAGATAGGGGAGATAGGATCGATAGGATCGGTAGGATAGATAGGACAGATAGATCTCTAGATAATTAGATAGAGAAGTTGACAGATTCACAGATTGACAGATTGACACAATGATAGATAAGATAGATTAGATAGATATATAGATAGATTAGATAGATTAGATTAGATTAGATTAGATTAGATTAGATAGATAGGTAGGTAGGTATGTAGGTAGATAGATAAATAGATATATAGACATGCAGATAGATAGATAGATAGATCGATAGATAGATAGATAGATAGGTAGGTAGATAGATAGATAGAAAGATAGATGGATAGATAAGATAGATAGATAGATAGATAGATAGACAGATAGACAGATAGACAGATAGACAGATAGACAGATAGACAGATAGATAGACAGATAGACAGATAGATAGATAGATAGATTGACTGATTGATAGATTGAAAGATTGATAGATTAGATCAATGGATCGATCGATCGATAGATAGATAGATACATAGATACATAGATACATAGACAGACAGACAGATAGATAGATAGACAGATAGACAGATAGATAGATTGATTGACTGATTGATAGATTGACAGATTGATAGATTAGATCAATAGATCGATCAATAGATAGATAGATAGATAGATAGATAGAATAGGCTGTAAGATAGATCAATACATAAATAGATAGATAGATAGACAGACAGATAGACAGATTGACAGCCTGACATATTGACAGATTGACCACAGAATTCACACACTTAATAACACACATACACACACATATATTTATATACACATACATATACATGTATGTACATTTATGTGCATATACATATATATATATAATATATATATGTGTGTTTGTGTAGAGGTATGAGGTTTCACAAGAGCACAGTTATACACAATACACTTACACGCCTGCTGTCACCATCATCCAACGACAGCACCAGGGCCGCTTCACCGTCGAGGACTTGTGCACGGCCGGGTTGCGAAGAAGCACCGGGTGGAGAAGCTGAGATGAGATACAATACATGGATGGATGGATTGATGGATGATATATATATATATATACATATTTGTATATATGCAATATGTAAATATGTATATATGTATGTATGCAGCATATATGTACATATCTATAAAGATATGTGCAAATATATATATATATATATATATATATATACGTATGTAAATATGTTTATGTATATATATATATATATATATATGTGTATATATATTTGTAAATATGTTTATATGTCTAGATGTAAATATGTATATGGGTTTCCACATGGTTTCACAATTATTTTTCATTATATATCATGTTTAGACATTTGTATATATATATATATACAACAATAATCTGTTTACATACATATATTTCTTTTGATATGGAACAAGATGTTGGTCAAATCTCGCCGCAAACTGGCGGAGCAACTGTAGGTCTATTTAGCGTCTGGGACGCGGACGCGGCCATCCACCAGTCCCCTGGCAACGTGGGTGAAATCCATGGGTGTTCAGCAAATGAATTGTTAATCCCCCAAAAAATAGGCTGACAATAGCACCACGACATCCTGGATTTTTTTCTGACAGGATGGCTTCGGCCCAGCACTTTTCACTTGAAGGTGCTTTTTTTTCATCAAGATTCACATGCTGAGAGACTGCCCGATTTGCTAGGATCTTTGCCTATGAATCATTTTCATCCCTTTGACCCCTTATTTATAGTAACAAAAATTTGTACTTTACCTTTGCGGTAGCTTGGTGATATGACGCGCCTGGCTAACGAGCTTGGGTGCTGACCTGCCACGGCACCTTTTTAGCTCGCCTTCAGCTTGACTGCTGATCTCCGAGATGGCGATGGATAGAGAGAGAGAGGGAGAGAGAGAGAGAGAGAGAGAGCACCAGAACTTGGTGAAATCCCAGCTCTAAACCTCCATTGATAGTGGATTTTCCGATATTTGATTCTTTCCCCGTGAAATTAGCTAGTAAAATCTAGTAAATGAATGTGAGTCCTCCCAAAATATATGGTGAAATAGGTTTGATTTTGATCTGTCTCCATTTGCTTATGTATACGCATGGTCAAGTCTCATTCTGGGGACAAATTTTGGGGAGCTGTTTTTTTTGACATTTAAAAAACAAGTTGTTTGAACTATGGGAGTCATCGTGCCAGAAGTGCTGGATTATGTTCCAGGAGAAAAATCTGTGA